TTTTAAAGCACTTAATTTCCCTTATTTCTTCATTTTAAGCTTCTCAGAACACTTTATTTCACATAGGCATACATAGTAAAGTTTAGGGTACCCCCTAATTCACTTTTAATTATTTCCCGTGGTAGGGTACACTATTATCCTGTAATTTAATATGTGGTCCAACTTAAATACTATAGGTCAATATTAAGGTCCGAAATCGGGCTAACAGTGATGAGGGACTTCGCGCTTCCAATCTTTAAAGGGTATTAGAAGGCGAATTTCCTCATTTTAAGCTCTTCCGAACACTTATTTTAGATACGCACACATAGTAAAATACAGGAACTCATTGTGTTCCCTCTAATTGACATATAATTATTTCCCGTGGTAGGGTACACTATTACCCTGTAATATAATACCTGGTCCAACTAAAATATTATAGGTCAATATTAAGGTCTGATATCGCGCCTTGCGTTAGTTAACCATTGAAAGATGTCTTTGAATTTTTAAAGCATTTTAGAACGCTTATTTCTTCATTTTAAGCTTCTCAGAACACTCTATTTCGCATAGGCATACATAGTAAATTTTAGGGTCACGCTGTGTACCACCTAATTGACCTATAATTATTTCCTGTGGTAGGGTACACTATTACCCTGTAATATTATATGTAATCCAACTTAAACACTATAGGTCAATATTAAGGTCCGAAATCGGGCTAACTGTGAAGAGGGACTTCGCGCTTCCAATCTTTAAAGGGTTTTAGAAGGCGAATTTCCTCATTTTAAGCTCTTCCGAACACTTATTTTAGATACGCACACATATTGAAATACAGGAACTCAATGTGTACCCCCTAATTGACTTATAATTATTTCCCGTGGTAGGATTCACTATTACCCTGTAATATAATACCTGGTCCAATTTAAATATTATGGGTCAATATTAAGGTCTGATATCGCGCCTTGCGTTAGTTAACCATTGAAAGATGTCTTTGAATTTTTAAAGCATTTTAGAAGTCTTATTTCTTCATTTTAAGCTTCTCAGAACACTTTATTTCACATAGGCATACATAGTAAACTTCAGGGACACGCTGTGAACACCCTAATTCACCTATAATTATTTCCTGTGGTAGGGTACACTATTACCCTGTAATATAATATGTGGTCCAATTTAAATATTATGGGTCAATATTAAGTTCCGAAATTGGGCTTTACGCTAACATTGAAAAGTGATTTCGCGCTTCCTATCTTTAAAGGGTTTTCGAAAGTGAATTTACTCGTTTTGAGCAATAGTGAATTAAGTCAATTTGAAGGTCAGATATCGTGCTGTTTGTTCGCATTGAAAAGTGTCTTCGAATTTCCTTGTTTTAATACACTATTTAAAATATGCATAGTGTACCCCCTAATTCAACTATAATTATTTCCCGAGGTAGGGTACACTATTACCGTGTAATATAATATGTATTCCAACTAAAATATTATAGGTCAATATTAAGGTCCGAAATCGGGCTAACAGTGAAGAGGGACTTCGCGCTTCCTATCTTTAAAGGGTTTTAGAAGGCGAATTTCCTCATTTAAAACTCTTCCGAACATTTATTTTAGATACGCACACATAGTAAAATGCAGGAACTCATTGTGTACCCCCTAATTGACTTATAATTATTTCCAGTGGTAGGGTTCACTATTTCTCTATAATATAATACCTGGTCCGATTAAAATATTATAGGTCAATATTAAGGTACGATACCGTACCATTAGTTAGCATTGAAAAGTGTCTTCGTATTTCCTTGTTTTAATGCACAATTTAGAATATACATAGGGTACCCCCTAATTAACTTATAATTATTTCCTGTGGTAGGGTACACTATTACCCTGTAATATAATACCTGGTCTAATTTAAATATTATGGGTCAATATTAAGGTCTGATATCGCGCTTTGCGTTAGTTAAACATTGAAAGATGTCTTCGAATTTTTAAAGCATTTTATAACGCTTATTTCTTCATTTTAAGAATCTCAGAACACTTTATTTCGCATTGGCATACATAGTAAACTTTAGGGTCACGCTGGGTACCCTTTAATTGACCTATAATTATTTCCCGTGGTAGGGTACACTATCACCCTGTAATATAATATGTGGTCCAATTTAAATTTTATAGATCAATATTAAGGTCTGAAATCGGGCTAACAGTGAAGAGGGACTTCGCGCTTCCAATCTTTAAAGGGTTTTAGAAAGCGAGTTTACTCATTTTAAACTGTTCCGAACACTTATTTTAGATACGCACACATAGTAAAATACAGGAACTCATTGTGTTCCCTCTAATTGACATATAATTATTTCCCGTGGTAGGGTACACTATTACCCTGTAATATAATACCTGGTCCAACTAAAATATTATAGGTCAATATTAAGGTCTGATATCGCGCCTTGCGTTAGTTAACCATTGAAAGATGTCTTTGAATTTTTAAAGCATTTTAGAACGCTTATTTCCTCATTTTAAGCTTCTCAGAACACTTTATTTCGCATAGGCATACATAGTAAACTTTAGGGTCACGCTGTGTACCCCCAAATTGACCTATAATTATTTCCTGTGGTAGGGTGCATTATTACCCTGTAATATATTACGTAGCCCAGTTAAAAATTATAGGTCAATATTAAGGTCCGATACCGTACCGTAAGTTAACATAGAAAAATGTCTTTGAATTTTTAAAGCTTTTTAGAAGGCTTATTTCTTCATTTTAAGGCGACAAAGGGCTTTCAAATACACTATTACCCTGTAATATAATATGTGGACCAATTTAAATAGTAAGGGTCAATATTAAGGTCTGAAATCGGACTTTACGTTAACATTGAAAAGTGACTTCGCTCTTTCTATCTTTAAAGGGTTTTAGAAGGCGAATTTCCTCGTTTTCAGTAATAGTGAATTAAGTAAATTTTAAGGTCAGATATCCTTTCGTTGGTTAGTATTGAAAAGTGTCTTCGAATTTCCTTGTTTTAATGCACTATTTAAAATAGACATAGTGTACCCCCTAATTCACCTATAATTATTTACTGTGGTAGGGTACACTATCACCCTATAATATAATGCCTGGTCCTATTTAAATATTATGGGTCAATATTAAGGTCTTATATCGCGCCTTGCGTTTAACCATTGAAAGATGTCTTTGAATTTTTAAAGCATTTTAGAACGCTTATTTCTTCATTTTAAGCTTCTCAGAACACTTTATTTCGCCNAGTGTACCCCCTAATTGACCTATAATTATTTCCTGTGGTAGGGTACACTATTACCCTGTTATAGAATAACTGGACCAATTTAAATATTATGGGTCAATATTAAGGTCTGATACCGTGCCTTTAGTTAACATTGAAAAGGTTCTTCGAATTTCCTTGTTTTAATACACTATTTAAAATATACATAGTGAACCCCCTAATTGACCTATAATTATTTCCTGTGGTAGGATACACTATTACCCTGTAATATAATATGTGGTCCATTTTAAATAGTATGGGCCAATATTAAGGTCCGAAATCGGGCTTTACGCTAACATTGAAGAGGAACTTCGCGCTTCCTATCTTAAAAGGGTTTTAAAAGACGAATTTCCTCATCTTAAGCTCTTCCGAACACTTATTTTAGATACGCGCACATAGTAAATTACAGGAACTCATTGTGTACCCCCTAATTGACCTATAATTATTTCCTGTGGTAGGGTACACTATCTCCCTGTAATATAATGCCTGGTCCTATTTAAATAT